ACCCACACCCACACCCACCCTACACCCACACCCATACCCATACCTATACCCACACTCACCCACACCCACAGATGACAGATACGACAAACATATATATCTTTTTTTCTTTCGTTTTATTCATTTAGATATTTTTCTTCGAATGGATGGAAAAAGGCAGAAAGGAAAAATGTCGAAAGGGAAAAATATCGAAAATAAAAATGTCGAAAACAACAATATTAGATGAAAATGAGCATGTAAGATTGAATTGAGGGCGAGGGAGACTTGTACTTCAATATACTCTCGTTTTAAGGATTTCTAATCATCTACATTTGTAATATTTTTGTTTTCGATATTTTTATTTTCGACATTTTTCCCTTTTCGATATTTTTCCTTTCTGCCTTTTTCCATCATACCTTTTTCTTCTTGTGATATTGTTTGGATATTTTTCTCCTCCGGTTGATTCGACTCTGGCGCCATCTATTTTCAAGTTTTTAAAATTAGGTTATCTCTTAAACTATTGATCTGGGGCCTTTGGGAATACTTTTAATGAACTCCTCAGGGTCTAATTAGTCGAATTAAGTCAATAGATGAGGGGGGGGGGGGATCGATAAGTGTATTTGTCCCATCTATCGTGTTCACATTATGAAGTCTGCAGCTGATGAATCACCTCTCTAGAATATTATGGTGTGATTTGAGGGGCGCATAACCATATTATTAGAACAATTATTTCAGGATATTTTCTATCTTTTTTCGCTAAGAATTTCACTGTTCACTTTTGCATTGAATGCAATACTAGAATGACGACAAATAAAGCATTTAATTAAATGTGAAACTGAAAGAAAAATACTGGTAGCAAGACTAACCTCAAGATGCAGATGGCCATCTTCGAATTCTGATTTTGTTCCAATGTAATCAATATTTGTTGTTTGTTTACAAAAGGTAGATCTCCGTGTTTGAATGAACATAATACATCTAAAACAACTTCTGAAACGTTATCGGTCGCGCCCCAAGCTTACAACATTGTCTTTTTGCTTTGTGCGGAACGAGAAAATGTCAAAAAACGGAATGTAATAAAAGAGTATGGATGTAGTGCAAATTTGGATGGATCTCGAGGTGAATCTAGACATCGGTGTTAACCTACATTCATATCCATACCATTGCCCCGTTTTATAATTGAATTTTATGGTGATGTTTTTTTTATTATCGGTATGTCTACCTTCGACATTTTCACTCGCAACCTTTTCATTTACGACTTTTTTATTGTCAGCCACATTCAACTTTTATCATTACTGAAACAGAACAAAAGAAATCGACTATAAAAAGAGCAGCGAATAGGTAATATTGAAAGATTGTTTTATTTATCGTCGATATGCTGTCACTTACAATCATATTATCTATTTCTATACTCAGTAGAGGTCAAGCATTGACCAATGTTGGTGGTGTACTTCTTCAAGATACTGTATGGAGCAGTTCTGGTAATGCTAATCCTTACTATCTCATCAATCATGTTCAAGTTCCATACAATGCTTCACTAACTATTCAAGCAGGTGTTCAGGTTATTTTTGGTTCTGGCAATTTTGAAATACTTGTCAAAGGAGTTTTGAAAGTACAAGGAACTGCTAATAAACCAGTGCATTTCTACAATGGTTCTGCCGCAGATACCAAATGGATGATAACATTTCAATCAACTAATCTTACAAGAAGTTTAATTAGTCATGCTGTTTTCACTGGACCCAAAAAAGGATTACAGATTAAAGATTAAAGATTCTGCTGTTGGATTATCGCAAAATACTGGTGTTTTAGTGATTCAGAATACAGTGTTCGTTCGTGGCACTACAGTTGAAGCAAATGGTAGGCTCTCTGACTTGTTCTTCTCATTTTAAATGGTTACTCAAAAGCATGAGTGTTCGATAACTCGTATATATTGAAATCTTGAAAGTTGAAGAAGTATTCGAGTGCAATTTAATTGTTTACCATTCCAAAGACCTGCTTCAATGTTAAATAGCATTCTAAACTTTCATTGCTTTAAGAGTGCCAAAAAAACTCGACCACGATTTCGATTATATCAGCGTTTCACTTATGTCTTATCGGTCCTATTACTATCTAAATTTCTAACATGCTATCGAGAGTAACTAACAATATAGATTTATGATTAAATCAAGTCATCCACGTCAAACGATGATCTATATTTTTCTAGAGCGAAGTAATATTCAGAAAATTTCGATGCATATATGACTTTGAATAAGTAACAATTTACTGAGAACAAAGTCATTCGTATACGTTTCTATCAACATAATATTTATTATTTATTATTCTGAGTAACATATAAAGCATTTGATTATAGATCACTTTTTATTTAAATTAAGCCTCTGTATTCGACAACTCTTGTTTGTGGGTTCTCTAAATGAAACATTATCATGTTTCAAGATTCATGAAAACTCTAAATGTTCAAATTGTCCTTGTTGTTTGTATAAAATTAAATGCTGACAAAACACCAAGAAAAACACAATTGATAAGTATTATGCTCAACAATATTTTTTATCAGACTCATTAAGCGCATATCTATCTTAAGACACTTCTCATAGGTTTAGGTGGAGCCAGTGCAGACTAATTGAAGTTCACACTAAATTAAAATGCGTCGTGGTCATGTGTCGCGAATTATTGCGTCGTGCTCTCCAGCAGAAAAATGTGTCGTGCTTAGAATGTGTCGTATATAAATTTGTTGCATTCTGTCTCCTAACTATTTGTTCACCCTTTTGTTTTGTAGACATAGTGATATATAAACAACGTGGTTGGACGTAGGAAAGATAAATTTTCAAAACATTCTTTTTTTTTCTTAGTTATTTCTCGAATAATTGTTTGTAGAGAAAATGCCAATCCCGATCCAAGGTCGACATAGGACTACCCTGAAGCGGTCTGATGCAAATCAGACCAACTCGAGATAGAACAGATCCCAGATTCTGACCTGCTTGAGTTTTCAGAATAAGCATAATTAAATGGAATTAAATTGAAAAACAAATCGAAATATATTTTTCCAAAAGAACCAATAGAAAACGTGTCGCATGCGTTGTACGAAAAGTGTCGTGGTCTCGCTGGAGAAAATATGTCGCAATGAGCTCCTTGTGTCGCACTTTAATGTGTTGTACAATGTGTCGCAAATCACGACATATGCGACACATTTTTATTTAGTGTGTTCGTTCGAACTTACTAATTAGAAATAATCACAATATAGTTATGAGAACAAGCTATCGTAGATAATACAAACAATACATTTTTGAGAAGATTAGAATCAATGCCATACTTGATACTTCATTGTATGGAAATTCTCACAGTAAAAGACTTAAATTCTTTAATCACTGGATTCTTTTAAATACGATTTATGTTGATTTTTTTCTCACTTGCATCATTCGAGTATCACTTCTGTTTTTCATTATCTATCTATAGGTAACTATCCATCGCCCCGTGTTTCACCTGTTTCTTCTCTAAAAATAATATCAGTAGTAATTAATGATTCGATGGTATCAACTGGCAATAGTATGAGCGAGTCCATTCTTATAATTAACAGTAAAATTTTTAATGGAACTGTTCAACCAGCAGCCAGTCTTGACGGCATTCAGTTCATAAATTCCAAGTTGCAAACTTTAACAATTAGATTTGATAAAACCAATTCATATTCACGAGGCATCCTTGAATTTAACGATTCAACAGTCGATAATGCAGTTATATCATGTTTAAACTACTATTGTAGCCAATTTCTTCATATTAGAGTATTTCGAAGTGTGATTCGTTATTCTTTATTTACACAGGCTGCTAATTCGTATTGGATAGACTATCCGGTTTCTTTCATGATTGATAACTCAACATTCAGAAATGTTTCGATGGATGTCTCAGGATCTTTTTACTTCAATAGTGCCCTCGGCTTTTTTTATTCCATTTTTATGAGCAACTCCATATTTCACACTGGTGCTATAAGACTTAGTAGATACCAAAACTCTGCAATGTTTCAAAGTTCGAAATTTCAAGAAGTAAGTATTGTGGCTATGAACTCGTACTCATACGGTTCTAGTACTGGAATAAACATAACAAATGTCATCTTCCAAAATGGTAGCTTAATTTTGCCTATAAGTAATGTCGCTATTATGTATTCGATTATCGTACTTCAAGCACCACCATTGGTATTAGGTGATAATTCGATTATTTCATGCAGTTCTATCAAACGTGCTTCGTCCGTATTACAAATGAATACAATAGGAATTCAAGCCACTACTACTAGAATAACTCAATCATCCATCAGTTCTTTTGAAGTTGGTCTACAAGTAACCGCCTCGACCATACCAACAAGTTCGATTTCAAATTCCAATTTTATCGCCAACAGTCTATTTAACATCAAAAATGTTGGTGTGTATGACGTACAAGCAACTGGCAATTGGTGGGAATCCTCTAACGATTCAGTTATTCACAACAAAATTTATGACTATTGGGATGATATCAACTATGGTCAAGTGCTCTACTCTAACTATTCAAGTGTAAAATTACCAGCTGAAAATGATTGCTCACCTTACAATCCAATATAGTCATACCAAACTTCAACAAGTAATCAATAGATTGTAGCTCAACTTAAATTTTCGAAACATTTTTTTAAAACTAATAGTCCTATACTTGAAGTTGGGTGTGGGTGGGTGTGGGTGTCGGTGTGGGTGGGTGTGGGTGTGGGGTGTGGGTCTGGGTCTGGGTCTGGGTCTGGGTGTGGGGGGTGGGTGTGGGTGGGTGTGGGTGTGGGTGTAGGTGTGTGGGTGTGGGTGTCGCTGTGGGTGTTGGTGAAGAGAACACTAACACCCACACCCACACCCACCCACACCCACACCCACCCACATCCACACCCACACCCACCCACACCCACCCACACCCACCCACACCCACCCACACCCACACCCCAAATCCCGCACCCACACCCACCCACACACCCACACCCACCCACACACCCACACCCTTTTTTCTATGCAATTTTATATCTGCGATTAGATCAGAAGTAAATCAATTCTTAGTTTCATCTTCCGAGAAAAAAACGATTAGCAAAATGAATAATATTCCACACAGAAGTAATGAATTCAATCAATCCATAGATTTGCATCATGCCGAAGGCGAAACGGCATATTTAATCAAAAGCATAAATTTTAAAAAAGCAAATACTCGAGGAAGTGAGTCGTCATTATACATCATGCCAGCGCTATATGTCATAAGTGCAAGAGGAAGAGAAAGAAGGTATATACAATACGCCTTAGGTAGAAGGGACGTAATAAAGTACATAAACAGTCATGTGTTTGCTGTTCTCCACGAAAAAGAACACCATTAATGATTCACAAAAATCAAATCCAAGAAAACGAATACCAGTCATGAATAAAAAGTTATTTTAGTCACTATTTTTCACGGAGAAATGCAATTCCTCATGCATAAAGAACAAGGTTGATTCACCTGTTATTTAGTGGAAAAATAGAAGAAAAAAGAAAGCATATACAGATACTTCTGTAATTGCACGTTAACATCACTTAAAAATTATTTTAAAGCAGGTAAGTCATAATAAATTACGATAACTGACAGGATTAACGGTACTTTCCTTTCCCTGCCCGAATACTCAACTTTTTCAATATCAAGTTTTTCAGCAATATTGCATTCCGGAAATGTCGTCTACCGAATTCGCTAAAGATTAGATGTCTTCGCTTGTAGTTAGTATTTGTTTTTACTACATTGACTCTGAAGACCTCTGCAGGAAAAACTCCAATGTGACTGTTTATTTGTATACCAATATCCGTTTATAGTAATGGGGATCTCGTGTTTCAAAGATGGTTCGATGATCATTCATAAGATCCTTGTGCTGCTGAGTACAACCAACATTTGGTCGATTTCGTTAGAAAAATAAAAACCCTGATATTTACAGAATATTGTGTTTCACATTATTGTTCTTTTTTCTCGAAACCGAATTTTCGCCCACACCCACACCCTCACCCACACCCGCACCCTCACCCGCACCCTCACCCACACCCACCCTGTACCGCACTACATAAATGCAAGGGAAGACAAAGATATATAGAATGATAGAGAATTTCATGCGCTATCAAATGGTGTACTTTCTTTTACATAATTTATTTATTCCGGGTAATAATTAAAAAAAAACAGTGAAAAAATGTAGATTTTTGGTACCTGTCGATTGAGGATGTTTTCATTCCACTCAAATTTTCTTTTCAATAAATGAATATAAGAAAATAAATAAATATACAGGGTGATAGAGAATTTCAAGATCTATCAGAATATATAATTGATTTCCTAAACTGATAATTCTACAGTGATAAAAAATTTAAAAAACTAATTTTGATGACAGTGAGAAAATAAAGTCTTTGGGAATCTGGACATGAGCGTACCTTCATTGTACTCGATCTATCTTAATGATATAAAGGTACAAACTATAACCAACATACATAGAATGATAGAAAACTCCAAGGGCTTTCAGAATATGCCATTACTTTTTTAAGAGTGCCCATTTATAGTGACAATATATCTAAAATACTGACTGCAGTTATTTCCCCACCGTATATATACGTATATGCATACAGTTCAAAACACTTGTATAAAAAAAACTAAAGTTTTTTTAAAAAACAATACGTTTCTTTTTATCAAATTTTTCATTCAATGTTATTTTCTTCAACGGACCTTGTTGAGATAATAAATTTAAAAAAATCTGCGCAAAGAATATTAGCATTTTTTCTG